CCTGTGTACATCCTGCTCTGAAAAGAGGGTGCCTTGAATGAGAGCCCCACCATGACTGCACATGGGGACCAGGACAACTGGAGACCCTGAGAAGGAATGAAGCAGTGAAACAAACAAGATCTCCATAGTGTGATGGGCCCAGGTTTTGTTTGTTTTACTGGGGGACCTATCAGAGTCAAAAGGATTTGGCTTCCCAACATAGGGGGCAAAGGTCTTAAGTCTGGGAGGGGTTATCACATCAGAGAAAGTCATTGGTTACTACTCAGAGACAAAATTGGCATACAGGAATCTGGTGAAGTCTCACACCTTTCTGAACACTGGATCAGCAGCCTTTGTCAACCTCTCCTGTGGACACAAACAGAAAGCACCTTAACCAGACTGTCACTTCAGAGGTGACAGGCCAGGAGACTTTCTAATTGCTTCCTTTTGGGGTGGAGGAGTCAGAATCCTCAGAAACCTTAGGTGACAGTTGACCAAAGGGAGTCCAGTTCTGGGGACCTGGAACACCCCAGGTTTGGCATCTCTAAGGAATGCCTTGACCACTGCACTCATCCCTATTCTGAGGGGCTCTGAGACACACAGTGTCTCAGGGTCTGAACCCTGGGGATCTCAGTGTAACCTCGAGAAACGCTATGACATATATACCATAGAAGACTGTTTGGACATCATTTAAAACCAATAGTAATCCTTTATTAGCCAGTCAGTGATTACACTGGGTGTTCAGAATCCCAGAGTAGTTCAAATCTTTCTGAGTATTCGTTTTTAAGCACAGAATCCATGCTCTGGGTAGACATGTGTCAGTGAACAAGAACAGTTAGTCATGAGAAGAACTACAGAAGTCAGAAATCAGAGTTGGTACATTCAGAGGCTTTCCCAGAACTATGGATTTTGAAGATCTAGGCCTTTGTTTTCATTTTGGCTGACAATGCAGTCTACATTCTGAGTTTTATGGCCTGGATAACACTTCCATCATGAAGTCAGTTGTGGTAAGGTCTGGGAGCCTCTTACATCATTTTCAGAAACTAGATTTTAATCAGATTACACCTTTGCTCCTCATTGCCTCAAAGATGAAAATTATTCCATAGATTCTATATCACATGGAACTGCTTTTAAATAACAAATGGGTTCAAGCACTTTTTGATTCAGATATTGCAGATTCTGGTTGGGAAGTTCCTGACAAAACCTGCTGGCCACACAGTTCAATGAGGTCTTTGCACAGCTTTGTTTATTTACTTCTTCCATGGTCAGAATGTTTTCAGTTTCTGAGTACTTCAACCCACTACAAAGGTTACAGTGCTTTTCACCATTTCTTCACTAAGGGAAATTCGAAAAGCCTCACAGGATTGGAGGAGGAAATAAAAGACAGCAACATCCACCTGTGCTGAGCAGCAAGTGCGGCTAACTAGGGGCCCTTGCGCTTGCTAGGTCTGGGCAGCTCTACTCCAGAACATGGGGCCACCATCCTGAGCAGGAACGAGATGGCGTTTTTGAGGGTTAATTCATTTTCTCTAGGACTACTGTGACTAGAAAAGGCTGTTCTTGGACATGGCTGGGGCACAGCAGCAGATGAACCCTGGGTAGTATGATCAGGGCAACCAATCTTGAACACTACTATTGGGCTTGATTCAAGGGAGGGACCAGAATATGTGCAGTTTAAGCAAGAGTGAGAAACACACTATGATTGTCTTTCTCTGTGCTCACCATGTCTGCTGATGGACACGGTGAAATGACCATGGCCAGTGATGGAGCAGAGCTGATGCCTTCCCAGTCCTACTGAAAGGGATGCCTGTGGCTGATTTTCATGAGGGGAAACAGAACAGAGTGATCAGCTACTGGCTTGGTGAAGGGCAAAGGGAGTTAACACAGTGTTAATATAAGAACACAAAAGGAAGATGAGATATGATCTGTTCTAGTGATGAATATGAATGATCAGCTTACCACACACAGCGTGTTCCAACTTGACAAGTTTCTGTAGGAACAGAATAAAGAAAGTCATAGATTTAGGTATTTTTTTAAAAAGTGGTGGCAGTTCTGGTAGAATTCTGCATTGAAACAATCTGGTACTGGGCTTTTTTTGGTAGGGAGGGTTTTGATAACAGCTTCTATTTCTTCGCGACTAACAGGTTTATTTAGATTGTTCACTTGGTCTTGATTTAACTTTGGTAAATGGTACTTATCTAAAAACAAGTGCATTTCTTGTACATTTTCCAACTTTGTGGCATATAAGCTTTTGTAGTAAGATCTAATGATTCTCTGAATTTCCTCTGTGTCTGTGGTTACATCCCCCTTTTCATTTCTGATCCTATTAATTTGCATGTTCTCTCTCTGCCATTTGATTAGTTGGCTACGGGTTTGTCAATCTTGTTGATTTTCTCCAAGAACCAAATTTTGTTTCGTTGATTCTTTGGATTGTTTTCTGAGTTTCTATTTTGTTGATTTCAGCCCTCAGTTTGATTATTTCCAATCTTCTACTCCTCCTGGGTGAGTCTGCTTCTTTTTTCCCCAGAGCTTTCAGGTGTGCTGTTAAGTCTCCAATGTGTGCTTTCTCCGTTTTCTTTAATTGGGCACTTAGTGCTATGAACTTTCCTCTTAGCACTGCTTTCGTTGTGTCCCATAGGTTTGAGTTTGTTGTGTCTTTATTTTCATTAAATTCAAGGAATTTAATTTCTTTATTTAAATAAATAAATAATTTAATTTCTTTATTTAAATAAATAAATAAATAATTTAATTTATTTCTTTAAATAATTTAAAGAAAATTAATTTCTTTCTTTATTTCTTCCTTGACCCAGGGGTGATTCAGTAGTTGACTGTTCAGCTTCCATGAGTTTGTAGGCTGTCTGGGATTAGAATTGTTGTTGAATTCTAACTATTTTCCATGGTGATCTGACAAGACACAGGTGGTTACTAATATTTTTTTGTATCTGTGGATGTTTGCTTTGTTACCAAGTATGTGGTCAATTTTCAAGAAGGTTCCATGAGCTGCAGAGAAGAAGGTATATTCTTTCCTATTTGGGTGGAATGTTCTATAGATATCTGTTCAGTCCATTTGATTCAATACCTCCAGTAATTCTCTTATTTCTCTGTTAAGTTTCTATCTGATTGACCTGTCCATTGGTGAGAGAGGTGTGTTGAAGTCTCCTACTATTAGTGTGTGTGGTTTGATGACTGCCTGGAGTTCTAGAAGTGTTTCTTTTACATAAGAGGGTGCCTTTATATTAGGGGCATAGATATTCATAGATATTCATTGAGACTTCCTTCTGATGAATTGTTCCTGTTATGAGTATGAAATGTCCATCTCCATCTCTTCTGATTGATTTTAGTTTGAAGTCAATTTTGTTGAGCCTGTTTTCTGGGAACCTTGGGTCATAGATGAAACTCAGAGTGAAGGATGAAGAGCAGGGCCATGACCATCACACATCTGATCTTGGCTGCCAAGAGAATATCCTCCTTCAGTAGGAAGACTGGCTTATTCCTTATATCCATGTAGTTTTTATCCCTCTCCTGCAAGACCGGCTCTTATACTGTAGTGAAGGGCTTTCTCTAGAAGGTCGGGAACAAAAGACTGAGGACATGTCTGCTTATCTTGTCCCCAACTTCAGGTCTTCAGGCTGTTGTTCCTGTCCTTTGGGATCCAGAACCTCAGTCGGGCACCGTTCTTACTTATCACATTCTTGCTTGATAACTGGTCAGCTCCTAGTCTCTGATTCCCAAGGCTTCTCTGCCCCTTCTTTATATCCCCCCTTTCTCTAGCAAATGAAAAATGAACTGAAAACCTAAAGGAGAATGGCAGGAAATAATTCTTTGAAACATTTCCTCTCTTGTGGTATTGAGAAGCTTCCTGATTTCTTGCTATTTACAGCAGAGCTGCTTTCTGCAATATCCAGCCTTTGCATTGGTGCTCACACACCCTCTCTGGGTATAGGCACATTGGAGACATAGCTGCTTAAGTTTCAGAGCACTGCTCATGTGTAATCATGTCCTTGTAAGTGTCACTGTCACATAATTTCATAAATTTTGTAACACAGAAACACGTAATATTTTTCTATGTTTATGCTTTTTCTGAAATGACAATGTTATTAATTCTGTGGATGACTCATACCCATGATATAGGTAAAAAGGAACGTATTTTATAATCTCTAGTAATTATCGAAAAGACATGCATCAAAAAAGAAGTGTTAATTCCGGGGGGGTATTTATTCCTTATAATGACAATGAATAAATGAATATTTAACTGAGCATATTAGCAACAATGCAAAATAATTTCTCTAAATCTGATTCTGCTTCTTATTTGATATATAATGTAAAATCTTGAATAAGAAAAATTCTCAGTGCTAAATCAAATGGGATATTTCTGATGTAAGCACAGTAGAATGTTGTCATATTATAAAGGAAATTCTTTAATAATATTTTAGAAGACTATAAAATTATACCGCTTCTCCCTCAGCCTTGTCTCTGATGCACCAAACACTGTTATTTTTGTTGAGAATTTTACCACTCTACCTTCTGAGTAAAAAGAATAGATTCTAGGTAATCTCCTCTCTCCCTTTCTAGACAAGGGACGGGCCTGCACAATGGCCTCAGAAGTCCACATGCCAGGCCCTGTTTGCCTCATTGAGAATGTGAAAGGGCAACTGGTAGCCAATCAGGAGGCTTTGAGGATCCTGTCTGCCATCAAGCAGCCAGTGGCGGTGGTGGCCATCGTGGGTTTCTACTGCACAGGCAAATCCTACTTGATGAACAGGCTGGCTGGAAAGAATGCAGGTGAGTGCCTCCAACTATGCTATGCTGGTACCCTTGTGCCCACTCACATTGTCTGCTACTTGCATGAGAGTGTGAATAATTTAATCTTTTGGTCATAGTTGGATGTTGGCATCCCTTTTGTCATTGTTATTGTTGCTTTATCTGTTTGCTTTGTTTTTGAGACAAGGTCTTGCTTTAGGGCACAAGCAGGCCTTTAATTCAGTACATAGTCTTGTCTGATCTTGAACTTATGATCTAACCTTGGCCTCCTGAGTGCTGTTGGCCTGCACCTCCTCATCTAACTCTTGGTTTCCCTTCTTAAACCACAGCTGGTTCCTTTCCTAGAAGCAGAAAGGAGGTAGTAAAGATGAACTAATTTACATGTTAATTAGCATTAACGCATTGATAACATGTTCAAGTAACATCAGTGGGTCTTTAATGCTTAAAAAGTTTGCCTGTATCTGGATTATATGTGTTGACTTTTTTTATTGTAAAATAAATAAGATTTATCTTTGTGATTGTTTTTAAGTACACTTTTCTGTGCTAAATGTATACATCTGTGTATCTCTCTTCCCTCCTTCTCTAGAACTAGCTCATTGTCCACCCTATCTCAATCCTCCACATGCACTGTCTATTAATACAAATGTCCTAGGAATGTCGTTTAAGTGGGATTCTATAAAATATGGGGGTTTTGTTATTGGTTCTTTCACTTAGCATGATACCTTTAAGTTTTCTCACCTTGAGAAAAGTATATCAAAATGTTCTTTCTTTTTGAGCTTCATTGGTAAAATATGTCTTAATTACAACATCCATTCACCTGTAAACAGGACAGTTGAGTACTCTGAACCATGCCATGAAGATGGCTATAAAGACACCTATCTGAGGCCAGGTTTTTTTAGTCTTATCATGGATAAAATGCCTGATGGCAGCAATGGAAGGAAGAAGGATTTGCTTTGCCTCACATTTCAGGGGATATCAGTCCACTATGTCTGGGGAGACAGAACTTTGTGGCTATATGTGTAGTGGTAGGAGTTTGTGGCTTGTTCATATCAAGAACCAAGAAAGCAGAGAGCAGAGGACCTTAAGCAAGGCCAGTAAGAACCTTCAAAGGCCTGCCCTCTCCCAGTCAAGTTCTACCTCCTAATGCTTCCACAGGTCCCAACACAATACCACTAAGTGTGTACCAAGTGTTCAAATACATGAGCCTGCAATGGACATTTTACATTCAAAAAAGGATCATTCTTCCCTGGCCTCAAAATGCAGTTGGACTTGTTATGGACTTGTTACTCATCCCCAAATGAATTCACAGAGCCTGGATTCTGATGAAAATTTCATGAGTTCTTTAATGTACAAACTCGAGTTTGGATCACAATTCCAGCAAATCCATGCAGTGGGTAAGAGAAGTTCAGTGGTGAGCCTGGGAAAGGGGAGAACTTTTGAAGGTGAAATGCCATAATCAGGGGAGTTCATGTCTTTTTGCCTTGGGACTGGGTAAGGAGGGCATAGGGAAAGGTAGTTTCTAAAACTATTGATCAGTTTTGGGGCATGAAAATTTTAACAAAGAGCCATTAATAACTGACAAGGTATCTTCAAGGACAGGATGCCTCCTAGGATCATCTGGACTTTGTTAAATTTTATGGCCCTGTTCCCTAGCTCCTTAATTGGCTATTTTCAGGGTATCCATTCAAATTCCACTATTGCAGAGTATTTCTGGAGCTGAGAATGCTGCCCCTTGCTTATTGTATGTCTTGAGATGAAGTCCTTTATTTAAAATGAGGCTTGCAAAGTCAGATTCTCACAGACCCAAAAAGTACCCATAGTCTTAAAGTTCTGATAGTGTACAAAAGTCCACCAACTCATCTAAGACTTAAGGCAACTTGTAATATACATTGACACAGAATAAACATCCCCAATGCCAGTATTGAGGAGAATAGCAAGAAAAGTATACACTATAGCAAGACTGAACCAGTATGGACAAACGCCTAGCCCTGTAGCTCCATGTGCAGCATATAAGGCATATGGTGGCTTTCTCTAGATAACATTAACTTGCTCTAGGGTCCGGCTGTTTATAGAACACAAGGGCTCTCTCTAGGGCTGTGTGCACTCAGTGACGCCAGCTTTCCTCAGTGAACATCGCACAGTCTTGGCTTCTCTAACTTCCTGGGATCTCCATTGTTACTTCAGCTTTACCCTCACAGCCTCACACACAGTGAGCTCATGAGATTCATATTGCTCTTTGGCCTGCTACACACTCTTCTGGGACTTTGTTTACAAGGTCGGATGCCTTGTGACTGTTGTATTCTGCATATCTGAAAACTGAATTTCTGTTATGTCTCTGATTGTGATATCAGAACTAGCTTTGGTTTTGGCTAATTCCGTGGACCTTGTTTGTGCCGAGTTTCACATCAATATTTATAATTTATTATTATTTTACATGTATGGATATTATGTATGAGTATTTTGCCTGTGTACCACATGCATGCCTGGCATTCACAGATGTTAGAAGGGGCATAGGGTTCCTTGAAACTATAGTTATAGGCAGTTGTGAGTTGTTGCATAGATGCTGAGAACCATACTCTGGTCCTCTGCAAGAGCAGCAGGCACACTTAATCACTGAGGCATCCTCCCTGATCAATTATGCCAATTTTATCATCATTTTCTTAAAGCACTTGTTTCCACATGTCTAATCCCTCATTTCCTCTCTGTTTTTCAGGTTTCTCTCTGGGCTCCACAGTGCAGTCTCACACCAAGGGGATCTGGATGTGGTGTGTCCCTCATCCCCAGAAGCCAGACCACACTCTAGTTCTGCTTGATACTGAGGGCCTGGGGGATGTTGAGAAAGTAAGGATTGAGGGCTCAGTGTGCAATTTATCCCCTCATCTCTGAATATTATATACTGTTATCTATGTTGCTTTAAAACCTAGTATGTTCATTTTCATTTATATTGTGTTTTCATGTGCATGTGTACATGCATGCATGCATTGTAAGTATATGTGTGAGTGCATTATATGTGCATGGTACATGAACTTCATTGCACATACAGAGGTTAGAGTACATTTGGGTGCAGTTACTTTTTCCACCATGTGGGTTCTAAGGACTTAAGTAGGACTGTAAGCTTTGTAGTTTTTCACTCAGAGTTTAAACTTCATTGTAGCATCATTTTCATTTTTACTTACGTGACATGCCGTCATGTGTGGTTAACAAAGAGGAGGGAACTAGTCATAAGACCTGATCATAGAACAGCAGGGTGCTAGTCTTCAGTATTGAAACACTAACAACAGACTAAGAAGCACTAGTGAGAAGCATCAAAAATAAAACCACAAACCAAAAGAACAACCACCCTACAAGTACTGTGGATGGTATTTGCAGGTTTCCTGCTGTTTCTTTTCTTTTGTATTGTACCACGCATAGGTCACAAAGGTTTCATTTTTTTAACCTTAGTGAAACTCTAAAATCCCTTTTAATGAAGTGAATATATTTTATCATTACTCATCTGGAAAGTGACATGAGAACAAAACATACCCCTGATCCATGTGTATTCTGACTTCCAGGGTGACAACCAGAATGACTGCTGGATCTTTGCCCTCGCTATACTTCTAAGCAGCATATTTGTGTACAACAGTATGGGAACCATTAACCAGCAGGCCATGGACCAACTTCAGTATCCTTTATGTGGTTCCAAAGAGCACCAGCGTGGGGTGATGTTTTGCTTATGATCTAACGAATAAAATTTGCCTGAGGATCAGAGTATAGAGCTAAGCCAATAGTCAGCTACAGAGGCCAGGCGGTGGCCTTTAATCCCAGTACTCGGGAGACAGAGGCAGACAAATCTCTGTGATTTCAAGGCCACCATGGGCTACATGAGATTAATTCAGTCTCCAAGATAAACAGAGTCAGATGGTGATAGCTCATACCTTTAATCCCTGCACTAGGGAGGTGTAGACAGGAGTGATATGGTCGGGTGGAGAGAGGAATATTAGGAGGAGACAGGAGCTCAGAGCACTCAGTCTGAGGATTTGTAGGAACAGGATCTCCCCTTTGGTCTGAGAACTCAGCAGAGAGGAAAACTGGTGGCTGCTCTGCTTCTCCGATCGTTCAGCACTAACCTTCCTTCCTCCCAGAGCTCTCTCTGTCCACAACTCCCTGCTATGCCTCCTGCCTAGTAATTGGCTGCTTAGTTTTTTTCTAAACCAATCACAATGACACATTTTCAAACAGTGTAAAGGAATATTCTGCAATGTATGTACGTAAACTATTCATACTGATGTTAAGAACAAGGTGAATGAAACTTTGGGGCTAGGGTTTGGGAAAAAGTAGAACTAATACTTGATGGAGACCCTGGAACTTTGGCTGGTGCTTTGGTTGTTTCATGGGTTTTCCTTAATTAGCCATTCAGCTATGTGACAGAACTGTCAGACAGAATCAGAACAAGATCCTCATCTGACCAGGATGAGGTAGAGGACTCAGATGAGTTTGTGAGCTTCTTCCCGGACTTCGTGTGGGCTCTGAGGGACTTCTCTCTTGAGCTGAAAGCAAATGGAGAAATTATTTCTCCAGATGAATACCTAGAGAATTCCCTGAGGCTTATACAGGGTAAGAGACTTAGCAACTACTAAATGGGATGTGAAACAATAATAAAAATTTGTAGTTTTCAATCTATAATCTTCTTAACCTACAGTTTCTATTTCTTCTAGCAAGCTACTCCTAAGACTAGTGCTTAATGTATTATTTAATAGATTGAGTTAAACATTTCTCTTTTGTTCTAGGAGCAAATATATTTTATGCACCTTTTCCTGCACCATGATCAATTTGAGTTTCCTGCTTTGGACTTGTTTTTATGCTAAAACACAAAATAGAGTATACAATGATTATGTATTTTCAGATTATATATGTATATATGTTTGGAAAAGTGTGGCCCACACACAACTGTTTCCTGCCAGGTGTCTTTGGGAATGAAATGATGCTGTACTTGTGGCTTTGCATATTGTGTATACATATGGTCCAGGTACTCTAAGTGATTTGAACACTTAGAATAGAGGCCACTTTCCCTGCGAATCCTAAAAGAGCATTCAGGAAATTCCTAGACTGACAATCCTTAAAGCAGACAATTTCTCTTTTCTGTTCTTGTTTTGTATTTGTAGGATCTCACTCTGTGACTCAGGCTGGCCTCAATTTATAATCCTCCTGCTTCAGCTTTCAGCATGCTAGGATTTCAAAAGCTCATATGACTAAATTAAAAAACATATACTCTCCTTCTATATCCTGACTGAAAATCCTGATTTTGCTCCATCTAGGTACTGGCCAAAGAGATAAAGAACAAAAGTTTAATCTGCCTCGGCTC